ATTATATATAAATAAATATATATGTATTTATATATATATATAAAAATATCATTGACATCATTGGTACGAAATATGATTTACTTTTTTTTTTTTTTTTTTTGGTTTTTCGAGATAGGGTTTCTATGTGTAGCTTTGGAGCCTATCCTGGCACTTGCTCTGTAGACCAGGCTGGCCTCAAACTCACAGAGACCCGCCTGCCTCTGCCTCTTCCTCCTGAGTGCTGGGATTAAAGGTGTGCGACACCAACACCTGGCTATGATTTACTTTTAGACATGGATAATCTGCTCATTATTTAAATTAAAGGAACTTTGGGTGGACAGTTTTTTTTTTCACCCCTTTGAGACAAGGTATCTTTGTACATAAAGAATGCACATTAGTTGTCCTGGAAACTCTGTAGACCAGGCTGGCCTCAAACCCACAGCAGTCCTCCTGCCTGTGCTTCCTGAGTTCTGGAAATAAAGGTGTGCACCACCACTGCCCGACTTTTTTTTGGCGGGGGAGGGGGCAATGGACAGTTTCTTAGATCCTGAGTTTGCCTCATTCAGAACTTCTATGCTAGATCCCAGTTGTGTTTGTGTGATGAAATAATTATTATATATAAATAATTAATACATAAGGATGCTCAGAGAGAGATTTTCAGAAACTGATTTTATTTTGAATAGATACCATAAACTGGGAACAGGATTTAACCCTAACACATTGGACAAGCAGAAAGAAAGACAGAAGGGACTGCCCAGACAGGTCTTTGAATCTGATGAAGCTCCAGATGGCAACAGCTACCAGGATGAACAAGTAATATTTTTATTCTTAAGTGGCTGTGAGAAAGTATGTTTAGTTAATTAACATATTCATATTTATAATGTAATATTTTTAATAACAGGATGACCTTAAAAGGCGTTCGATGTCAATAGATGATACTCCTAGGGGTAGCTGGGCCTGCAGTATATTTGACTTAAAAAATTCACTTCCGGATGCCTTGCTTCCTAATTTACTTGATCGAACTCCAAATGAAGAAATAGACCATCAGAACGATGACCAACGGAAATCAAACCGTCACAAGGAACTGTTTGCCTTACATCCATCACCAGATGAGGTATTGCCTTTGCATATAAAGAAGCAAAGGGAAAAAAAAAAGAAGTAAAGGAGGCCAGGCATGGTGTATTCCTGTCATCCCAGCTACTTGGATTGTTTGGGCTCCATTATTAGTTTAAGGCCACTTGGGTATCTTAGTGATTACAAAGTAAACTAAAAATGGGCTGGGGATGTGACTCAGTGGCAGTGCACTTACCTACAGTGTGCAGACCTGTAGGTTCAGTCCCCTCCACCACAAAGAAGCAGCAAGTGATTATTAAGATACTCTTTTGGGAATACGATTTGCATTTAGTATTGCAGTCATGTTGGAAACAGAGCCATGGGATTTTTGAGTTAAATATGCTTTCAGTAGTAGCAGATTTACTTTTAATAAGAAACTTCTGTGATTGAGAACACTGGCTTCTGTTTATAGACGGGTGTGGAGTTCTTTCCTGTGTTTAATTGTGAAGACTGAAAGTGTAAGAATGCTTAAAGACTTAAAAGCAAGTGGCAAACATTGAAATGTGGTAAGCATTTATTGTGGTGTTACTTTTCACTCTGTAGGAGGAACCAATAGAACGTCTTAGTGTTCCTGATGTACCCAAAGAGCATTTTGGACAAAGACTTCTTGTAAAATGTTTATCACTCAAGTAAGTATTTCTTTTACTGTATAATTTCTATTACCTGGGCTAATATTTTTATTATTGGTGTAACAAAACTTTAGACTTTATGTTTGTGTATGTGTACTTATGAGAAGTGTTTTTCTTTTTAAATTATTGTTATTTTTAAAATCTTATGTATTTATTTTGGTTTTAAGAAAAATGTTTAATTATATTTAATGTTTTCAACATAATATATCCATTATGTATACCTAATGAAGAGAAAAATGTACATAAATAAGAGATGACTACTCATATTATTTGGCTTATAAAACTATAATGGCAACCAGGATGATGGTGTATATCTGTAATTGTAGCATTTAGTAGGTTGTGGACAAGGGGCATGGGTTTGAGGCCACTTGGGTTTGATAACGAGACTCTCTTTTTTTCTTTAAAAAAAAAGTCACTATTTATATTTTTGAAGTTTTATGACTTTTCAGTGTATACCTTAGAGTTTCCTTTTCAGAATAATTTTAGTTTAAGAAAGCTTTTGTGTAATGAGGACATAAACAGAGTAACAGTACATATATACTTCCTGGCAGAAACTCTTGAGAGTCATTCCATTGTTCTTTTTCCAATATCCATGGTTTTGGAAAAGGATTGTTCAGATAGTTCCCCTCCACACATTCATGGGGAAACTTACAGGCATAAGATCTCAGTCTTTTACATTAAAATATTCTATAAGGAAAATCTAGGGTTCTTATATAAAGCTAATTTTCTCATAGTATCTTTGGTCATATTCTTCCCCCTCCCCCAACTCCTCCCAGAACTTCTCTACCTCCCTTACCACCAGTGCCATGCTCTCTCTCTTACTTTCTTTGCCTCTGGGTCTCAGAAAAACAAAAAGCAAAAGTGAAAATAGAAGCAAATAAACAAAACCCCAATAAAACAAAAAATACCCAACCAAAACAGGAAGCACACATATAAAAGTAATGGAGTCCATTTTATGTTGGTCAGTTACTCCCAGGCATGGAGCCTACCCTGGAGTGTGGTTGTTACTCCCAGAGACATTCCTTTGGAGAAAACTTTTCCCTTCCCCAGCAGACATTGATGGTAAATAGAATCTTTGTTAGGATTGGGTTAGGACTTTGAGTACACTGCTTCTCTGAGCTGAGATTTTTATTTGTCTTGGACCTGTCAAGTCTGTGTGTTCGGTCACAGTATGTCTGGACCGAACATATGGGCCCATATAAACATATAAACATACCAGTTCGGTCCTGGTATGTCTGGAAGATGCTGTTTCTTTGGCATTGTCCACCACCTCTGGTTCTTATAACCGTCTGTCTCTTCTTCTGCATAGATCCTTGAGCCTTGAGGAGAGGGGTTAATAAAGATAGCCATTTAGGGCTGAGTGCTCCACACATTGTCCAAATGCCATCTACTGCTAGAAGAGGCTTCTCTGATGATGGCTTAGCAATGCACTGATCTGAATCCCAGCCAGGTGGCTTTTTTTATTTTTGATTATGTATATGAGCATGTAAATACAGGTGCTGGAAGACACTAGATTCCTGGAACTGGAGTTAACAGACAATTGTGAACCATCCAGCAAGAGTGCTGGGAACAGAACTTGTCCTTGGCAAGAGCAGTGTGTGTATGTGCTCTTCTCTGAGAGGAGAGTCATCTCTCCAGCCCTCAAATGATTTTCATTTAGAAAGAGAAAGCATCTTGGGAGGCAAACACAGAGTATACAGACGAAGTTTAATTTCATGAACTCCCTCTCCTCCCCCTTCTCCTCTCTTTCCTCTTTTCCCTACCCCCTCCCCTTCCTCCTCCTCCTCCCCCTCCCTCTCTTCTCTCTCTCTCTCTCTCTCTTTTTCTTTTGAGACAGGGTCTCATTATGTGTCTCTGGCTGTCCTGAAACTCACTCTGTAGACCAGGCTGGACTCTAACTCACAGAGATCCCCCTGCCTTGTGAGTGCTGGGATTAAAGGTGCACTCCACTATGCCCAGCAAGAAATCTTTTTTCTCTAAAGAGCTGGTTTCTTATATTCTGTAGGTTAGACTATTTAAGTGCATTTTCTTTTGATGGCAGTTAGATATCATGTGCCCATGGGGTGCCTTTACACTTGTGCCCAGCTTTCCCATGTTCTTTCAAAATTTTTTGCTATCTCCAGAGTAATTCTATAAGACAAGCAGTATTTTCTTTATTTCACAAACAAGGAAGTGTGAATTAAAGATGATTAGTAAAAGTTTTTCTCAGCATTGCCCATAGAGAATTGAAAAAGAAGTTGTTTTTCCCATTATAGCGTGTTGTAGGTTTATTAGTTTTAGTTTAAGAAAAAACTCTTTGTGTACAAAGACACTCAGCCAGAGAGATTACTTTGTGTATAAATATGACAGTTTTCTTTCTTTGAAACCCAAAGCTTTATACATTTAGTTAAATTTGTGTAGAAACATATTAGATAAATCAAATGGACTTTTCTGTATATCTGGATTCTCTATATTATACTTAAGTCCTTTATAGCAAGCATTTTGAAACAGGTTGCATACCACAAATTTATTTATTGACACAGGGTCTCGACTTTCCCACTGTGGAACTTACTGTGTAGCTCTGGATGAACTTGAGTTTTCTGATTCTTCCTCCCAGTGTTGGGATTATTGGAGTGCATCATCCTCTTACGTGGTTTAGGGTTGAACCTAGAGCTTTGTATATGCTAGACAAGCACTCTACACCAGAACCACAACCCTAAACCCAAATCTTATCCCTTTGAAATGCACAAATCAGGCTGGGCAGTGTCTGCACATGCCTTTAATCCCAACACTTGGGAGTTAGAGACAGGTGGATCTCTGTGAGTTTGAGGCCAGCCTGGTCTACAGAGCGAGTACTAGGACAGGCTCCAAAGCTATACAGAGAAACCCTGTCTCGAAAAACAAAACAAAACCAACTAGCCAACCAACCAACCAAACAAAAAAACCACAAATCAGAAGTATATATTCTTAGTGTTGTCCAAGTATTTCTGCTATCTAGTTCTGAAACATGTTTGTCACCCATACCTGATTTAATCTACTTAGACCAGTATATTAGAATTCATGTACTATATGACTTAATCAAATTATTTTTTAGTTCTAGAGTCTGAAGTCCAAGATCAGGATGCCAGTGGGTTGTTTCTGGCAAATTTCCTTATGGCTTGTAAACAGCCATCTTCTACCTGTGCCCTTAGATGTCTCTCCTCCCTGTGTGCACGAGAGGTCTGTGATGTCTTCTGTGTGGTTCTCTCTGTGTGCACGTTTGGAGGCCAGGGGTTGATGTGGGTGCCTTCCTGTGCTGTCCACTTAAAAAATAGGATTTATTTAATTTTATGTATATAGGAGTTTTGCCTGCATATATGTCTGTGTACTATGTACATGCAGTGCCTGTGGAAGCCGGAAGAGGGCATTGGATCCCCTGGAACTGGAGTTACTGGTGCTTGCAAGCTGCTATGTGGATGCTGGGAATCAAATTTAAGTCCCCTGCAAGAGCAACCTGTGCCCTTAATCACAGAGCCATTTCTCCCCCACCCATCGACTTTGTGTGACTAGGTTTCTCACTGAACCTGGAGCTCTCTGGTTCATCAGGACCAACTGGTTCCAGGGACCCTGTGTTTCCACCTCCACAGCATTTGGACTGTAGACGTATTTCTCATTCCTGCCTGTGTTTGTGGGGTCCAGACTCAGGTTTCTAGTTGTGCTAAAATCACTCCTCAGCCTTCTTCTTCCTTTTGTAGGGACTCCAGTTTCATCATATTAGTGTCCCATCCTTAGGACTTTATTTAACCTTAATTTTCTCTTCCGTATAGACCCTATCTTTAACACAATTTTTCAGATTGTGGATTTTACATAAGAATTTTGGGTCATCTTTCTGCCCATAACAGTAATCATGGACAGTCACCTACTGTTCTTTCTTCTTCCCAGCTCTTGCTAACACAGGCTTCCTTTCAGTTTCTGTCTGTTCATCTGTCTGGTTATGTCTTGTAAATAGAATTATAAACTATGTGGGGAGTTTTTGGTGTGGCTTCTTCACACAACATGTTTTCATCAATATTGTAGCATATATTGAAGTTTATTACTATATATAGCCAAATGATATTCCACTGCTTGCCTATGCTACTTCTTAAAGTGTTTGTCAGTTGATGAACCTATGGGTACTTCTGCTTAAAAAAACAAAGAGATCAGCTTTGTTTGTATCAGCTTTATTTGATACAACTTCCATATTATATAGCTTATCCAGTGTATGCCCAGTATACAGTTCACTAGTGAATTGACCTATTATATAACCAGTGTATTTTATTATAGTCACAGGCCTGTGCAACTTTATTAATGGATTTTACAGTACTTTCATCATCCCCTATCTTTTTGTCTCTGCCTCTGTGTGTGTGTTTGTAAAGGAAACTTGACTACTACCTCACATTTATGCAGAAAATTATGTACAGTCATTAGTAAGCTTACATTTGAAAGACAAAACAGTAAGGTTTCTAGAAGACAAGATCTATACCTTTATTTATAGAAACTCTACTTTAACACAACATAGCAAGCACTATCCTTAAACAAAAACATTTTCTTCCACTCTCACTTTGCTTTCTCTCTACTTCCTTTTCCTTACTTTCTACTTCCCTCTCTTTTCATGCCTCTCCATTCTGGTACTGGAGGTTGAACCTAGGCCTTACACATACTAAATACTCTGTACCACCGAGCTGCACCATTGGTCTGCATCCATACAGTTTGCTTTATTGAAATGAATAACTTTTTCCATCCAAGACACAAGTGTTAAGACAATACATAGGAGGGGGAGAAAGTATGAACAACACATACACTTGGCAATGTATTCCACAGAACTATTTATTGATGAGGGAAAAAGCGAAACAATAAATGAAAAATGATCCAGTACAGCAGTGGTTCTCAACCTGTGGGTTGCCACTCCTTTGGAGGTCAAATGACCTTTCCATAGGGGTCACCTAAGACCATTGGAAAACACAGATATTTATATTACAATTCATAACAGTAGCAAAATTACAGTTGTGAAGCAGCAACAAAAACAAATTTATGGTTGGGGGTCACCATAACATGAACTTTATTGAAGGGTCAAAGCATTAGGGAGATTGAGAACCACTGCAATAGAGGCTATTCATATGATTAACAAGTACATTAAAAGGTATATATGGAAAAATATATTGTAGTACCACTTACCCGGCTGAATCTTAAATATTAGAAGATGCAGAGTGGATTTTTTAAAAAAAAATTTATTTTCTTTTCTCTCTTTTGGATTTTTAATGGCTGTCAAGTGCTGAAAGAATCTTAGATCTCTTTGTGCTCAGCATCTATTTGTTTTGCTAAGAGAAACATTAGCTGGAAGTTACAGGGAGAAGAATGACAACCTGTGCAGTACTCGTTTCCCTTATTCCTTCCCCGTGGAGACCTCAGAGGCCACAGCTTCTCTGTCAAGGGACCCTATCTTGTCTCTTGCTTACCACTTCCTCAGTCTTGGATTGATGATTTCCACTGTTGCTTATCTAAGTATATACACTGTTGTTTTCAGATTCTGTGAAAATCTTTTTGAATGGCTCTTTATTAAACTTTCAAGGTGAAATGTTATCTCTTCTCTTAGAAGGACCCTGACCTTGACTTGTAATTAGAAAACAAGTTCTGTGGAGCAGGATTATTGCAGCTTTAACCCTATTTAGCATTCTTTCCTCAGTATTTCTTGCTGTTGGGCTGTACACACAGGATGCTCAGTCACATTGCAGACTTCTACTTGTGAAATATGGGTAACATTCCTCCAGCTGAGATAAACAAAAAGGTCTGAAGCAGCTAAGTGGTGGTGGCACATGCCTTTAATCCCAGCACTTGGGAGGCAGAGGCAGAGGCAGAGGCAGAGGCAGAGGCAGTTGGATTTCTGTGAGTTGGAGACCAAGTCTGGTCTACATACAAGAGCTAGTAGAGAAATCCTGTCTCAAAAAAAAAAAGGAAAAAAAAGAAAAAAGTTCTTAAGCAATGGCCAGGTGTCTTTTTGGGTGCAACATTGTCTTTGGTTGAGACACCACTGTGCTGTTGTTTCAATCAACTCCTCATTATGTTTGCTTTGAGTCAGTAAATAAGTACCTCCTTACTGTGTGTAAAGTGAATTAAACATCTCAAATATAAAGTTATAAAGAACATGTGACATTTTCATCCAATGGGAATTACTATCCCAGCATTAAAATGATATTAATATTTAAGATATGGAAATTTTCCTATTAAATATTGAGTTTAAAAAAGCAGATTAAAAAACAGTATTACTCTTTATTTAAAGAAAAATATTTCACATGTACATTTTACACAAGGACAATAGTCTGCATAGATGGCCACCCAACTTCATCTCAGTTTTTTCTGTGCAGTGGGAGTTTCCAAGTGCTTCTACTTCTCTCTGAATGTTTTAAATGTATTTTATTTTTTTGGGTGTAGATTATTTGATTTGCAGTCTGGAAAAGAAAATATTTTAAAACTTTATTTCAAAGTGAATACACTTAAGTAAACAACCTAATTACAGATTATAAAGTAATTAGTGTCACAAAATGGATAGAAAATCCTGTGAGACTCTTAGGACATTTAGATTAATTATTGCTGAAAAAAAATAAGGAGAATTATGGAGAGAACAAACTGGTTTTGAAACCATGAAAGAGGTGCTTCAGAGATAGGCACAGAGGTGAAGGAGGAAGGTATTGGAATAATGAAGTTTTAAATCAGAATTTCTTTTCAGAGAGATCTTTCTGCATCTTGATCTAGATCTCTGGTGTGTGTCATGTCTGTGTGTGTATCTCTGTGCGTCAGTATCTGTGTATGTAATTCTGTGTGTGTGTGCCTGTGTGTGTGTCTGTGTGTGTTCATGTCTTTGTGTGTGGTGGGGGGTCCCGGAGTGTGTGGGGGGGTCCCTGTGTGTGTCCAACCCAGTGTGTGTGTGTGTGTGTTTCTGTCCTTCTGTCCCAGGCTGTCTGTCCATGTGTGGGTATGTACATGTGAGTACACATGTCTATGGACACTTACCAGGGTAGTTGTTAGCTCCCTCGGCTTGATGTAGGTTTTGGGGACTGAACTTGGGTTCTCTGCAAGAGCTGCAGTCTCAATTGATGGACCATCTTTCTAGCTCCAGATTTATATGTATTTATATGTATATACACATCTTTCATATGTATTTTGAAGTTAGTTTATCTTTTTTCTTCATAAAGGTTTGAGATTGAAATCGAGCCCATTTTTGCAAGTTTGGCTTTATATGATGTCAAGGAAAAGAAAAAGGTAAGTTTCTGGGATTTGATTGCAGTCATTGTCATAATCATACATTTCAGAAATCTGCTTACATGTTTTTTGTTTTATAAGATAAACAAGTACTGATTCCTCATATGTTATTAACTAATTAAGGAAATAGAAATTTGCCCTTTCAAGACTATTTAATAGTTAAATAATTTTTAATTTTTATTTATTTTTATTAGTGTTTTTCCTGTGTATATGTTTGTGTGAGGATGCTGAATCTTGGGGTTACAAACAGTTGTGAGCTGCCATGTGGGTGCTGATAATTGAACCTGGGGTCCTCTGGAAGCGTAGCCAGTGCTCTTAACCTCCGAGCCATTTCTCCAGCCCTAAATATTTTCTTCTTATAGAAAATACTGTTTTTGAAACCTTGTTTTTGATTTATTGAAAAAAGTCCCCAAAGCAAATAGCAGAAGCAATT